GCTGAGCAGAAGGAGAAGGAGCCGCGCGTCATCCCCCAGGCCCAGATTAACACCTCGGCCGAGCCCAGCGCCGTCTCTGCCCCCGTACGTGTCGCTCGGCTTTCTTGTGTGTCGGCTTTCTTGTGTCCTCAGTTTTCTTGTGTGTCGGCTTTCTAGCTTTCTTGTGTGTCTTTCTTGAGTGTCGGCTTTCTTGTGTGTCATCTTTTACTTGTTCCTTTTTTTCTTTCTTTCTTTTATCTTTTTTTTTTTCCCTCTCCATTTCGCATACACAAGAAATCGGTGTGGTGCTCTGCAGGTGTGGTTTGCTCCTTCTTTCCTATCAAACATCTATCGTCCTTGTCTCTCCTCCTTCTTTCCTATCAAACATCTATCGTCCTTGTCTCTCCTCCTTCTTTCCTATCAAACATCTATCGTTCTTATCTCTCCACCTTCTTTCCTATCAAACATCTACCGTTCTTATCTCTCCTCCTTCTTTCCTATCAAACATCTATCGTCCTTATCTCTCCACCTTCTTTCCTATCAAACATCTACCGTTCTTATCTCTCCTCCTTCTTTCCTATCAAACATCTATCGTCCTTATCTCTCCACCTTCTTTCCTATCAAACATCTACCGTTCTTATCTCTCCACCGTGTTTTCTTTCAAACATCTATCGTTCTTATCTCTCCTCCGAGTTTTCTTTGTATTTTACTCTCTAGTAGTAACTCCTCTTTTCTTTGGCACTCATGTTACCTATTTGTGTTGCAAGTGCCGTAAAACTCTTACTAAAGCTCTAAAGCTAAAGTAACGCAGCTGTCTTTTCCCTCTCTCTCAGTGCTGTCTTCTGCCTCTCTCAGTGCTGTGTTCTCCCTTTTTCAGTTACTCTCATCCACCATCTTCTCCCTCTCTCAGTTCTCTCATCCGCCATCTTCTCATCTTCTCCCTCTCTCAGTTCTCTCATCTGCCATCTTCCCATCTTCTCCCTCTCTCAGTTCTCTCATCTGCCATCTTCCCATCATCTCCCTCTCTCAGTTCTCTCATCCGCCATCATCTCCCTCTCTCAGTTCTGTCATCCGCCATCCTCTCCCTCTCTCAGTTCTGTCATCCGCCATCTTCTCCCTCTCTCAGTTCTGTCATCCGCCATCCTCTCCCTCCTTCCCTCAGGCGCCCACTCTAGGAGCCCTGGGAGGAAGCAGCGCCAACGCCTCCATCGACCTGCTGGGTATCGACGCCGGACCCACGCCCCCGGCCGCGCCCCCCGCCGGAAGTGGCAACGTCCTGGTGGACCTGTTCGGCGACCCAGCCCCGACCTCGAACGGCATCGACACCTCGTCGTCTGCCGCCAGCGGTCTCACGCCCGGGGCCGAGGAGAACCTCAAGAAGTGAGATATTTTATTTTTTTTCCAAATGAGCCCTCGTATTTACTCATGTTAGAGAGGTCACGAAAATTGAGAACAAAAGGCACCTTTATGACCTAATTATTACTTTGTGTTGCGAGTTCCGTAAAACTCTCACTAAATGTAAATTAAACTTCTCTAGTAATACCTCTAATCTTTGCCACTCACATGACCTATTTGTGTTAGAAGTGCATTAAAACTCATTCTAAAGCTAAAAATCTCTTTGTATGTTTTGTTCTCGTGTCCCAATATGTGCATTTTATTTATTTTCTCTCTTTCTCTCTCTCCCCCAACCCCCTAGGTTCATCTGTAAGCACAACGGTGTGTTGTACGAGAACGACCTACTTCAGATCGGGATCAAGTCGGAGTACCGGCAAAACCTGGCGCGTGTTGGGGTGTTCTTCGGCAATAAAACCACATTCCAGTTCACGAACTTTGCCTCAGACCTTGTGCTGCCCGAGGCTCTCAAATCTGGTGAGTGCACGGGCTGATTCATTCATGTCATGCTCATAACTGTGCCGGAACTACAACAGGAAACTGCTGCTTTTTTCTTTCCTAATCCTTACTATCGTCATTTCCTCTACTTCTTTTGTATGTTTGTCACTCTCTTGTGACCCGCTAATTCCGGGGTGCCTTGATAGTCGAAGCAGACTTTGCGCTGTTGAAGCTAGAGAGGTGAGCAGAGTAAGCCTGATTCCCTGTAAAGACTTATCTGTTGACGTCCACCCCTTGGCGCTCATATGACCTTATGCAGTTGCGAGCGCCGTTAAACCTCTACTAAAACTACTTTTTAAAAAGCGCGCTGGTCCACGTACAGTCGAAATTGTCGAAGACGGCCACCCATTGTCGAGGACAAAAGTGGCCGTTTTTCAGTGTCATTAAAATGCAGGGGAGAAAAAAACGCAAGGGGGGGAATGGGGAAGTGGCCGTTTGTACAGTTGATAGTTTTATACAGGTGGCTGTTTGTACAGTTGATAGTTTTATACAGGTGGCTGTTGGAGCAGGCTCGACGGTACATGGTTACAGAGACTCCTCACACCCCTCAAATTTGTCCAGTCCTTTTTTTTTTCAACATCATTTAGAACTTTCAGTCATCAGAGGCGCTGATTCTTCGTAAAAATCAAGAAATCTGGATTTTTTGGCTTGTCTCCTCCCTATACGCGGGCAGTCATTTTTGGCGGCCTTTGAGATACGTCTGTTTGCAGTACTGCCTGCGTATACATCTTTTTGTGTATGTCATATGGCAATTTATTACGCAAAAATCTTAAAATGTTCTTGATGAAAGATGGAATATGTACAATATGATCCGTAAACTTTGATTTTAAAAAAATCAACGTATCCATTAATTTTGTTGTTGTTTTTTTTTTCTCCTGTTTTTGTGTAGCGTTGAGCGTCCAGCCCAAGCCGGTGGACAGCGTGGTGGAGGGCTCTGCTCAGGTTCAGCAGCTCTTTAACGTGGAATGTGTCACAGAGTTCGCAGACGCGCCCCTACTCAACGTCAGCCTCATGTAAGTACCGCTGTGGTCTGCTGTATGTTGTACTTATAGTGGTGACGTACTTTACGTAAATACCGCTGTGGTCTGCCGTATGTACCTATAGCGGTGACGTGCTTTATGTGTGATCACAGTGGTCTACTGTATGTACCTATCGTGGTGACGTGCTTTATGTGTGATCACAGTGGTCTACTGTATGTACCTATCGCGGTGACGTGCTTTATGTGTGATCACAGTGGTCTTCTGTATGTACCTATAGCGGTGACGTGCTTTATGTGTGATCACAGTGGTCTGCTGTATGTACCTATCGCGGTGACGTTCTGTATTTGTGATCACTGTGGTCTACTGTATGTACCTATCGCAGTGACGTTCTTTATTTGTGATCACTGTGGTCTACTGTATGTATGTACCTATCGCGGTGACATGCTTTATGTGTGATCACGGTGGTCTGCTGTATGTACCTATCGCGGTGACGTGCTTTATGTGTGATCACAGTGGTCTTCTGTATGTACCTATAGCGGTGACGTGCTTTATGTGTGATCACAGTGGTCTACTGTATGTACCTATCGTGGTGACGTGCTTTATGTGTGATCACAGTGGTCTACTGTATGTACCTATCGTGGTGACGTGCTTTATGTGTGATCACAGTGGTCTACTGTATGTACCTATCGCGGTGACGTGCTTTATGTGTGATCACAGTGGTCTTCTGTATGTACCTATAGCGGTGACGTGCTTTATGTGTGATCACAGTGGTCTGCTGTATGTACCTATCGCGGTGACGTTCTGTATTTGTGATCACTGTGGTCTACTGTATGTACCTATCGCAGTGACGTTCTTTATTTGTGATCACTGTGGTCTACTGTATGTATGTACCTATCGCGGTGACATGCTTTATGTGTGATCACGGTGGTCTGCTGTATGTACCTATCGCGGTGACGTGCTTTATGTGTGATCACAGTGG